GTGTGTGTGTGTGTGTGTGTGTGTGTGTGTGTGTGTGTGTGTGTGCCTCTCTCCCCTCCTCTCACTCTTTTGCTCTCAAACATGGACATGGGCACACAAACACACACACTAACAACCGCACACACTAGGTGCGCTATAACCCACACATTTTCCATCCTGATGATGCMTGTAACTGAGATTATTGCGTACAGTGCCCTGGTGTTGACCTCGCCTTTTCGCTCATGCCTAATAATCTCATCACAACATGGACTATATCACTCTACTGCAGAGCTCTATGGAGCTAAAGAACTGAAGCAAAGGAAGAGAAATTCAGAGCACATTTAAAGTTTGTAAGTTTGCAAAATAAATTAAAATAAAAATTATTGAACAAAAGGCAATAAATCGATAAAACACATTTTAATAGAAAAGACAGAATAATACTGAATGCAAATATACAACCGATAAGCACAGTTCTTCAAAAGCTGTCAGTGAAACACTGATCTATAATGCAAATTAAACCCTTTAAAGAATAATGTTGATAGTTTGAAGCGAGGTCCAGAATGGAGGCAGCTTTCAGGTTATTTTTTTAAACTTTTAAATTTGCTTAAACTAGGCATTGGCCAGCATGACAGCTAAAATAAATCCTAACATTTTATTTGTAATGCACGTAATCAGTTCATATATAAATAGTTTTAACCTTAAAGGGGACATATTTCATGYAAAGTTTCCTTTTGTAGCTGTTAAATACATTTTGTTGTGTACTTGGAGTATGTAGGGGGTGTATTCACACCAGAAGCAAACTGCACCAGAGTTTGTTTGGAAGTGGATGGAGACCACCTCAAAAATGGGTCTTGGTCCGGTTGTTTGATCCACACCAGGATTTGCACGAGTGTATTCACACCTGCATAAAAGGTTCAGACTATCAGGGGAAATGAACTCCGGTCTTTTTAAAGCAGACCAAATGTGTCTGGTGTGAATACACCCCTAAAGGYTCAGTYATAGTTGCRCTTTGGGTAGTCACGGAGTGCGCGCGCGCAGGGGCGAATGTGTTTATACTTGGCACTTACGTTGTTGTAGGTTTCTCCAAAAGGACACGTGGAARTGCACTATAACTTKTGAAATGTTGTAAACAGGAGAGCAAAACCATGACAAACAAACATGCTGTTTGGAATGGTGCGTGGCGTGTGCAGCCTTTGCGGAGTTTCAAAATTTTGGAGGTGCACGACCACGCGCTGGGACACCGCATAGGTCCAAAGCTCTGGAGCAGGGATGGCACGATTGCATCACTTTTTGCGTGCGCCCCCTCACGCCAGGTGAGACATGTCAACTATAAACCAGGCTTAAGAGTGCAGAATAGTTGAATTTAGGCTCTCCCGATGCTGCATAGTAATCTTTATATTTAGTTTGGATCACATTTTTCAAGTTGTTTTGTTTTCTGAATTTTCAATTATGCTTTCTGAACTATTACATCCAATTATTTGTGACAGAAATGCCAAATAAGGTCAACAAATACAATTAAGTCTTCTTCATTCTCCTCTGGCTCTGGGTCAGACTCTGGCTCCAACATGTAAGGCTGGATGGACAAGTCTTCCCTTGTTGACATCTTTTAATTCATTTGTAAATAAAAAAAAGTTTCTTCATCACTATTAAGTACAGTTTCAAAATGAGTTGCTTTGTGAAGTGTGGGGAGTAGCGAGGGAAGTAAGGGCTTGGAAGTAAAAAAAGGGGGAGGGGGCTTTGAGAAAAATAGGTTGGGGGCCACTGTATTAGGTCCTAAACAGAAATAAGCTGAATGTTATCATAAAACAAACTTTTTTCTGCCTGTTTGTGCTGTTTGATTTGTGTTCTGTAAACTGAATTACTAACTTGGCTGTAAATATGAAATAATGCATAAAATGACATAAAATTTTTAAAGTACATGAAACTGTAGAGAAATCTGCCACATGTCCTCCAGGTGAGAATTTAAAACAAGGCAATTTAGCTCTAATGAGTTCAACAGCTTTATGTGGACACATTATTGCTTTAAATGAAAGAAACTGTTGGATGTTAAGGTCTAACTGAAAATTAACAGTGCAGTTATGAGGTCATTTGTGTGACACAGTGAATTTAGTTTTGTTATCATTTATTTAACTGGTAGTGGGAAAGTTATTTTTGGAGCAGAGCTCAGGCAAGCACAAACTTTGACTACATCTGTCTCTTAAAAATATTTTTTTAATGTTATTACTACWTTTTTGGTATTAGATCCATATTAGAAAGATGTTGGTAAAAAAAAAAAAAAGGAAAGAAAA